TGGACTTCAACACCAATAAAACCCAAATATGTTTTAATAATAACTGTGGCCGGGAAAGTTACAAGAGCAACAGAAAAGAACATCCTTCGAATTCGATCGCAGCGTTAACACCTGGTAGCGCTCAGAGGGATGCTCGCGGCTATGGTGGGTGTGCGCGCGAATTGAAGGGGAAATAAAATTGGCTATAGATTTGCATAGCGGGAATGGAACCTTTCCGGTTTTCAGGGGTGCTTCGCTTAATAAAACATAAAAATAGGATATAGAGGTGCCATAAATTCTAGAACGAGTTGTCATCAGCACCCAAAAGCCGCTTCTCGGCAGCCATTTTCTTTTTGCAGATGACAATACATGACAATAAGCCTGTCCACTGATGACATATTTTGGCATGTACACTTTCCTCTGGAGCCAGTACAGGTTTAGCCTACGGTTCACTGAGTATGGTACCACCGAGAAGCACTCGTACACAATTATGACGTCACCAGTGCCAAGCCCTTTTGGTGTGCAAGAACTAAAGGGCTTGTATAATAAATAACACTTGGACTTTTATAAGACCATAATCGACCCTCTGGTTCTTTTCAGAACCACAAACACTCGCAAAAGAGAGATTTTTGCATGGCGCCCCTGTATAGCCTTTACTTGCCACCTTCACCATGGCTTTACTTTTTGACATGCGTGCATACGTATTTGATTTGACTAACAAAGTGTTCGGTCAAGTACGTGAACGTGGTCATTGCATAGTAAATATTTCCAAGGCCGCCGGGGCATGAGTTTAGAGAACGAGAACATAATATGCAGTGGGTGTACGAAAAAAACTGCCATTGACTACAAAAATATGAAGTCATTTTAGGCTGAGTCTTTCTCCCGATTTTCGTACCAAATCCTGCCTCTCAGCAACAAACACAGGTAAGGGAAACGTTTTGAGTGTTAAACTTGTTCATTATGTTTTTTACATTTTTTACATTACATTAAGTACATTTCCAGCAATACGGATATGGGCGTCTATTTTTACTCACTCAGTGCCACCAAAGGTTTAATTCTTCTTACAGTGTTACTACTTTTAAGAGATGTCCCAACTCAGATACATTCTTCTGTTCGCCTGTATGGAAATGTCATCCCGCTTGTAGATCCTGATATGTTTTATCTCAGAATGAAAACATTTTTCGGACAAGATGTCGACATCCTTTTTATGATATTGTCATTTTCATGATATTGTCATCTCTTGGTAAATCAACAAGGATGACACTGTCATCATCCCGTAGTACTATCATAATGTCGTAAACTGCAGTCATGGAGGTAAGAATAACGTCATTGTGTTTATGAGGTTCTCATCCTGTGGTAAATTAACTAAAATTATGGACATCTTGCATCATAAGATAAATTATGTCAGGATTTAAACAAGTCAAATGACATTTCCAGAGCACCGCAACTAGGGAAAATGATATGCAAAGTACACGTATTATGTACATGTATAACGTTCGTGTACGTAACCTGGACAAGTTATGTGTCAACATTTGCAAAGTATATTGTGTGTCAACACGTACCATTGGCGAACCCATCTGGGGCCCCAACGAGGGTCAAGCCCTCCCCAAAAAAAATTCTTAAATATAACGGGGGCCAGTGTTTAAAATTGATTATTTGTGAATACAGGCCATGGTCCGCATATCCTACTGAATCAAACTCATGTCCAAATGCTATTCTATCACAAGTACACTTAAGAGGGTGCATTTAAGCAATTGAATTCAATTGATTTCAAAAGCTATTTAGACTTTTCGATATTTGGCTAGTTCCATGCCAAACGTCGAAAAATCTGTCCATTTACGATGTATAAGGTTGACCACTGGCCGAATGTTCTTGCCCTTGGCTTACACAAATCTAAGTGTTCTTTGCTGGTAATAGACCTTTTTCATAATTCATAATTATGCACGTATGCGCACAAATGTCCTTGGTGGCAAGAAGTGTGAGTGGGCCATTGAAAACGTACAGGGGTGCGATTTTGATTTTTCTCTCAGGTTTTCTGTATTTGTTCATTTTTTCTTCAGAAAATCCCATTAAATCGTTTTGCTGTTAACTTCTAATCAAAGTGCGATTTTTAGTGCTGTGTAGGCCTACAACGACTTTACAATCGTAACTTTTCCTGCGCGCACAAGGTTGCTGTATCTAAGCTGGTCTCCTTTCGTTCTGTTTTATAGCAAAAACGATTTAATAGTATTTTCTGAAGAAAAAAAATGAGCAAAGCCAGAAAACCTGAGACAAAATGATCAAAACTCGCACCCGTGAACGTTTTCAAAGGCCCGCTCTCACTTCTTGCTGCCAAGGCCATTTGTGCGTATGCGTGCAAATTATAGTGAAAAATTTGGAATCGTTTGGCTTACTTTAGGCCGCCTAGTAGGGTTGAAACTTCGGATCATGCGGTCAGTGCACTTTTTAGCGGCTGGGTACTTGTTAGCCAACCAGGAGGATACAAGTAATGAAATGGATACCTATATACCTGGGCGTTTGCCTTTATGCCCCCGAAATGGCATCAGCAGCCTGTATACTTTCTAGGGAGCTGAAATTATTTCAGAGATGTTTTTGGCTCGATGAGCAGAGATAATAGTGTCCTAATGGGTGTGCACTTTATGACCTCGTATCATTAATTTCAATGTGAAGTATAACGTTAATGTAAACTTCGATTCTCTTATTCCCAATTCAAACAGTGAGTAAACTCAATCAGTACAAAGGCCTAAACAACGTGGCGTTGTAAACAAAACTTACAGTCCCGGGTTTTCTCTCTCACATTCGACAATTTTGCACAATTTCTTTGTGTAGGCCCTATGTAAAAACCTATGTTAAAATTGCGAATTAAAAATAAAATTTAATACGAATTACATAAGAATAAATTCTCTTTACCAAATGGACACCGACTGACTACCTAACAAGGAATCCAAGTACGTATACAATATTCATTACTTATCAATATTAGTACATACACACGTCAAATTATTAGCTAACACATCCAGTAACCAAAGCTACCCATGCCCTCTGTCGGCAGGAATTCTGCTTCCACGTAATTTTAACGTGTTTTTGATTTGTGGGTTGAGTAATATACGGCGAAGGAATCCCCCTAGACCTCCATACATTTCAGTCAGGCACTCTTAACAGATGACGTCATTCCCTAACCCCAAAGGGGTATTTGCCAAGAACCCT